TGTGGAGAGACAAAAATTCAGAGGTGTGTGGATCCATTTTGTTGTCTCTAGGAGTAAGACCTTCACTCTGAAGAAGCCAAAAACTCTCCCCATGAAGCAAAGGAGAATGTTCCAAGCTCCTGACCTGAGAGGGGTGCTGGAAGCCTTTACTGGTGAGGAATGCTAGAGCAATGGGTGGCTGTGAGATTTTTTTTATGGTTGGGGTTAAAGTTCAGGTTTTAGGTGTTGCTGGAAGAGAAAAAGGAAGACGAATATTACATGCTGGTTATAAGAGCATATTCAATGTGGAGTGGTCAGTTGTCTTGTTCACCCCTATTCCATGTACTAACTTACATAAACCCCAGTCTTTCCCTGATATGCAGAGAAAATAGATGTTGATGCAGAATTTTTTGCCTATATTTGATGTTATGGACTTTTCTAATTTCAGAACTCACAGATGTGCGACGCTACTGGGGTAAGGAGAAATCATAATATCACAAAGTCACCTTGTCCTCATTTTCTTTTAGAATTTTGCATTTTCTGCTAGGTCTCTAGTATAAAGACCCAGGCTTTTCCTCCCAACACCCACATACATATTATATTTCCGCAGTGTTTACTGCTCCTCAAGAACCAAATCAAATGCTTCCCATTTCCCACTCACTTTATTCTCAATATCTGTCTTACAATGCCATAAATAAAGTATGTCAGATTTCTCACCCAACCCTGTAATTTTTCTACAGAACACGTGACCCTGGATCCTCTCATGAATAAATCAAACGTTCTCATTTCTATGTACCGGAAACAAGTGAGACCTGACCATTTTTGGTTACTCAGAGGTGATAATATGGATTTTGGTGTCCTGGGATCACCTTCTATCACATCAGGGAAGCATTACTGGGAGGTGGATGTGTCACAGAAACGAGCCTGGATTATGGGGGTATATGGAGAAAATTACCCTGGCTCCATTAAAATGGATTTTATAAATCTCGTTAACAATAGTCAGCCTGTTTGCTCTAGATTTCAACCTAAATATGGCTACTGGGTTATAGGGCTACCGAACCATTCTGAATATAAGGCTTTTGTGGATTCTGCCTCTTCGGACTCCACGACATTAACCCTGTACCTGAGTGTTCCTCCCTGTCGTGTTGGGGTTTTCCTAGACTATGATGCTGGCACTGTCTCATTTTTTAATGTCACTAACCATGGGTTTCTCATCTATAAATTCTCTTCATGTTCCTTTTCTCAGAAAATGTTTCCGTATTTAAATCCTATGAAATGCCCTGCCCCCATGACACTGTGTTCTCCAGGTTCTTAAACCTTTTACACCTTCACCCACTTCTTTGGAATGCCGCTTGCCATGGGTTCATCTAATGAGCTGGGCTCACCTGCACTGTTCTTACTATCTTTTCCGGGCTTGTTTTTTTCCCATGTGAACACCCTTCATTCATCAATAAGGTGTACAATTTGCCGTATGCCATATTTTCCCAAAATCTTATTTGCATTCATAGAGAATCCTAATTCATCAGTTTTATCATCTCATGGAAAATGACTAATGCCTCATAACAAAGAGACATGTATGGAGGTAACATCTCTACCAAGTTCTACAATCCTATGTCCTCTGCCACTGACTGAGAAGATGAAGGAAAGCTTTTCAACAACTTTTATTGAAGACTTGAATAGAAGTCATTCACTACAGAATGAATCCTCAGAGGTCTGTCTGTTTACCCATGATGTTTGTTATTCATCAAGAAGTGAAGAAGAAGATATTAAATGTGGGGTTTTAATTGATTTCTTAGAGACAGAGGAAGGGAGAGGTAGAGAGAGATAGAAACGTTGATGAGAGACAAACATTGAAGGGCTGTCTCCTGCATGCCACCTACTGAGGGTTGACCTTGTGTCCAGGAAATGTGCCGTGACTAGGTATTGCACCAGCAACCTTTTGGTACATGGGTCGATGCTCAAGCACTGAGCAACATCAGCCAGGCAATAAGAAAATATCATTAACAATATGTACTAAGAGTGTAAGTTCTGTGTCCTCATTTCTGAGTTCACATCCAATTTCTCCAAATATGCACAGTGAATTTTGAATAAAATACCTGATTTTTATTTACTACATT